ACTAAAAAACAATTGAAAATGAAATTACCATTAATATAATCATATGATGCACTATAAAAATAATAAATAGAGTTTTATGTGAAATGTGTACAAAGAAAACACAAAAAGCAAAGACAAACTTAAACAAGAATAAGCAAAGACACTTGTGACCAAAAAGAGACAAAATGCCACTAATAATATAGAACTGAAGATTGCTTCCCTGAATAGAATAAAATAAAGGGAGCAGCCGAAAGAAGAATATACTTTGTATATATATAATATACATATATGTATAATAAAACTGCTGAAATTGTATACTATAAAACAATTGAAAATGAAATTACCATTAAGATAATCTTATGATGCCTTTAGTCCTTTAGAGAAATAAGGAAGTGGCCACAAATTTGCTTTATTTTTTGCTTGTTGGTGGGATGTTTTCTTCTTGTTGTATTTCAGACAGTAATATGTTGCACTAATAAATGTTATGAACCCCATCTAGGTGTTATAAAACATGTTATGATATATCCTGATGCATGCTCAATAATCCAGGTAGAAAAATCCAAAAAAGTTCAATCTGGTCCTCTGGACATTCAAAAAAAAAAAAAAAAAAACAAACAAAACAAAGCAAAAAATATATAGAAACGTTTCGTCTCTCATCCAAGAGACTTCCTCAGTCTGAGGTGCTGTTTACTAGTTCTCACTTTCAATGCTAAACAGAAGCAAAACATTCACCCATCCATCCATTCATCATTCCATACATCTATCCATCATCAGTACACACACACACACACACACGCACACGCACACACACACACACGGATGCAGGAAGAGGGCCACCTGTATCATGAAGGACCCCACTCACCCAGCACACACACTTTTTGCCCCACTCCCCTCAGGAAGGAGGTTGAGGAGCATTAAGTGTAGAACCACTAGACTGAGGAACAGCTTCTACCCTGAGACTGTTAGACTCATGAATCTCTAACCAGAATAATCACTGTGAAAAATTACATCTTGTTGCTGCTGATGTGTTTCATGTTGATGTGTTCATGCGTGCTCATCTACTCACACAGAATCATGTTTGTGCTGATGTTCGACGTAATGTTTTTATGTTATTAGTGCTTAGTGTACGTTTAGTTGATGTTTTTCTTAGTTAATATTTTGGATGTTATCGTTGTTTTTCTTTTACATTTTATTGTTGGATGTAACTGGGACCCTGTGTACATAATTTCGCTCCACCACATGACAATAAAGAATCTCTGACTGACTCTGACACACACACACACACACACACACACACACACACACACACACACACACACACACACACACACCCACACACACACACACACACACACACACACACACACACACACACACACAATAAAATACCAAACAATGACAAAAGCAAGAACATAAAGAAGTTCAAAACTACCACAAAGTCTGAAGCTAATGAGTAGGAAAAGTAACAAAACCTAGGAACAAAACAACTATTAAAAACTAAATCTGAATGTAGTGAAAAAAAAAAACATATTTATTAATTCAACTTTTATTTATACAGGTTAATCCCATTGAGCCTCGGAGACTCATTTACAAGAGACCTGATTTTAACAAAGAGTGATGACAACAGTGGACAATAAAGACAATAATAGACAATCATAAAGGATGTGTACAAATTGAGCTTTTTTTAACAAGTGAAAATAAAATGGTGTTTAAAAAGAAAATTTAACTAAAAAGTTTAAAAAACAAAACTGTTAGGTTTTACTAAAGTCTTTATGCTTTTTTTGTAGTATACAAAAAAGCATAAAGACTTTAGTACAACATGATGAACTGTTATTTAGAAATACATTTCAATATGTCTGAATGGACAGACCAAAGGTGCCTTTTTGTAGGTGGGGTACGCTCGACGAATTGTGCCCAGGGACCGGAAGTTTCTAAAACCGTCAGTGGTCAACAGAGAAACGTCTGAACGGCTGTTGACTTTATATTTAAAAAGGAAACGACCAAGTATGCCCAAAGTACTGTCTAAACTGGCTCATGGTCTACATTAGAACCGGCGGTACTTAGATAATATAGTTTTCTCGCTTGCTGCGGCTGCTGGCTAAAGTTAGCTCATGTAGCCGAAAAGTGACGTCCGTTGGAGGAGCGGAGCATTGTGACTCGAAGGAAGGAGGAAGGAAGCAAGGAAGGAAGGAAACGATCGGTGGGATCTCTGCGCACCGCTGTTTATGCAAAGCCAGCTAGAAAGGGTGACTCGATCTGAATACCTTGTGCGACATTTTGCACTATTTGCTTTATTAGACATGTTGTCAGTCATCACAGCTAAGCGTTAGCAGCGCGGCTAGCTACAGGGGCGAGAGCTAGCCCGCTAGCAACAAACTTCGGAAGAAGTTGCGTTCCGATTGTTCTGTCCTGTACAAACCCAGCACGCGTTGTGTTTGTTTAATTAATAAGCTCATGGCGTCGGATTTAATAAAGACTGGAGCTATTTTGAAGGGTACAAGTGATACAAGTCGGAACAATAGCAGCCTAGATGTTGTCACACCCAGCAGGACTCGAGATTTGGGAAACGGACAAAAAACATCTAGTCCCTCGTCTTCCGGAGTGTCGAGAGAAGCGAGGGATGAGCGGGATTCAAACGATTTGCGAGTTGGCACCGCTTCTTCTGTTAAAAATGGCGAAGAGGGGTTTCAAGGAGGTCTGACCAAAGCGAGAGGTTCCCTTCAGGGAGGAATGAGCTCTACCCCGGTTAGCCTTCAGCAGCTACACTCGCCACCTGGACCCGCAGGAAGGTCTGTATCTTGGAGTTTGGCAGACATATTTAACAGTTCTAACTCTAATCTGTTCTCTGAGACACAACTACCTGATCACATCAATACTTTGTGTGTTCTTGGTCATTTAAAAGTTGTTTAAAGACCAGGAATTCTTCATTATGTGGACCTAACCCAGTGCCAGGGGCCTTATGGACATGAAAGTCTCTTAATCACTTTATTTAAACTTTTTGTTTTGTGCACAAAATGTTATAGATTTACCTTCCTAGCCTAAAGTTACCAAATGTGAATTATGTACAGATAAATTTAGAAAGAATTATGTACGGTAACTTACATAAACTTGTCATAACATTATTTTTCAGGAGCTAAAAGTTGTATACTTTACATAAGCAGATGAAATCAGTACAACTCTGCGCTTTAAAGGTTCATTACAAACAAGTTCAGCTGTTTTCTATATGGACTTCCTGCAAGTTGATGATATAATTCTGTTTATTATGATCCGAGCACTTCCCTGACCAGATCTTAATGTTAGTCATTTACATCCTTGTAGACTATAAATAAGTATAAATAATAAATAACTTAGGCTACTTTTCTTTTTATATTTTGCTTCTAAAATGTGGGCTTTTATCTAATATTTCACAAGTATTCTTGAGCAAATGGTTCTCAGTGGTTTTAAACTTTAGATATTGGCTGCTTTTTAAATTTATTTTCACTTCAGTCCGTGTAATTATGAATAATTTAGAGACTTAATATCTTTTTTGCACGTTGCTTGACAAAATGATTCATGAATCATTCAAGCAAAGTTTAAAGCAACTACTCGAGCAGTAAACAAAGTGTGTTTACACATAACCAAACAGCAAAGAACAGTGCATAAATGCTCGTTTTTAACACTGGCTGTCAAAATTATTAGGTATTACGTGATTTTTCTTGATGGAGAATAAAACAAAAGATGAGCACATTGTCCTCTTGGAAAAAAATTCTGAAAACTGACATAAGAATGCTAAGAGGGTTTGAAAATTAAAGTAGCTTATGCCAAATATTTGCTTTCAAGCTTGTTTGAATTCTAAAAAAAAATCAGTTTCCTAATGGATTGTATTTTTTATCTACATTTACAAAGTATATGTACATAGACTGAAAGAGGGTATTTTATGTTGCACATTTAAATGATCTCACTTTTTCAGTCTTTATAGTTTCAGTCTTCCACTATAATGTTTACTTATGGAAATTTCAAGCTGTTACTGAATAGGTTAAAGTAAAAGTGTGACTTAAAAAACAGAATTTGTTCAATTGATGATTCCAAAAATATGAGAATGATTTCTATGTGCAGACCTAAATTTAAACTTTTCTTGCTGTACTAAATGTGTGGGGCACTTGGACTTGCACACTGCCTCACACACAGATATTTGCAACCAGTTGGATTACAACTGTTACAATTGTTATCAATTATTAATTAGCACTAGTTTAATTTTGCCTTAACATTTTTAAAATATTCGGTTCACTTCAAGCTATCCCAACTTTAGGGATGAAAGATAATGCTGTAGTCAAAATATGTTTTTAGCTTAAAAAAAATCTAGGACAATTTCCGGATCAAAAGTGCAGTTGTCTCCATCTGTTGCACATGCAAATTGCCCAGATTTATTACATAAATCAATGCACTTGTTCTTCTGAAAATGCCCTCTGTTTGTAAACTATCCACCAGCGGAGTGGCGTGATATTCTAACAGTCATCATTTTAGTTTGACTTTCTAATGTAGGTAAAGTAGCTTCTATTTCCTCAGGCTGTGCACGTGGATTGCAGTGTTTCCTGTTCAGGAATCCACATTCCTGTGACGGCTTGTTTTCAGTGTTATGTAGCTTAACTCTGTGTAGTTAACAGCTAAACTGATTTTGTTCTGAAATGTTCAATGCAAAATGTGTAGAACATTCATATGTGAATGCAGAAATATGTCTGTGTTTCTGCATCAAAGGGGACTTTGTGTAGCAGGGACACAGAAACCATGGCCAGCATTCGACTTAATGGTTTTAGAATAAGCTTGTAAGCGTTTTAAGAAGCCAGTTACAAGCTGTAACTTATGAGTATATACTTTAACATTTAATTCTTGGCCGTATTTTGATTAGCAGCACAAATAATCTGTCAGCTGATACAGATGTTTTATGATTAATGTGAATTTTTTTTTTTTTTTTTAATGTCAGAAAAAAAGGAGTTGAGACTTTTAATTCTTTTGGTTGTTGTGGTGGTTCTAATCAACCCCCTGCTTCGTGTCAAAACAAGGGTTTTCCCAGATTTGTGAGTTTACTAAATGTTGTGAATTATCCAGTTATTAGGATCATAAACAAAACGTGCTTTTGCATTAGCATCTGTCTAAGTACCAGGTGAAGAAATTGGACAAAAATAATCAGTTCAAGTTTTAATCTGTTGGCAAAAACAATACTAAATGTAGATCTTTAATCTATAAAAGTTTGAGACAACCAGTAAAGGTTGACGTTGTAGCACGTCTTTCAAAGTGTATGAACACAAAATTGTGGCAAAGTTAAGACATTTTACAGTCGTTGCATCTGTTTTAATCAAAATCACCATTTCTAGTTTGAGTGCTTGTAAACAAGAATACATAACTTTTCTGGATATAAAATGACAAACAAAGGAGCACATTTCATTTTTATATGGTTTTGTTATGTAGTTTAGACTGGATCAAAACATGTATGAAGACAGCATGACAGCAGTGAGATGTGCTGTAGGTGTGATGGGTAGCTTCAAGGTGGAGGTAGGACGCATCAAGGATCGGCTCCGATGTACGGACTAACAGATGAGGTCACGCAGAAATCCCCGTAGACTGTGATGTTTGCAGATGACATTGTGATCTGTGGTGAGAAGAGGGAACAGGTGGAAGAGAACCTGGAGAGGTGGAGGTATATACTTGAAAGAAGAGGAATGAAAGTCAGCTGTAGTATGACAGAGTGCATGTGCATGTGCATGTACGAGAGGGAGGAGGTGGAACAGTGAGGCTACAAGGAGCAGAGGTCACAAAGGTGCAGGACTTCAAGTACTTGGGATAGACTGTTCAGAAAATGGTGTGTGTGGGAAAGAGGTGAAAGAGTCCAGACAGGTTGAAGTAGATGAAGAAAAGTTTCAGTAGTGATTTGTGACAAAAGGTTGACAACAATGGTCAAATAAAAGGTCTATAAGAGAGTAGTGAGAATGAACTGGAAGTGGCAGTGCTGAAGATGTTGAGTTTCTCCTTAGAAGTGACATGGTAAGATTAGGCTTGAGATCATCAGAGGTACAGCACAGGTTGAACAACTGGGAGATGAAGTTAGAGAGGCCAGACTGAGATGGTTTGAACATGTCCAGAGGAGGGACAGTGGGTATACTGGTAGAAGGATGAGATGCATCTACCAGGAATTGACAAAGCAGAAAGCCAAAGAGGAGATATATGGATACAGTTAGAGAGGACATGGAGGTAGTTGGAGTGAGGACAGAGGATGAAAAGGACGGAGTGAGATGGAGGAGGATGACTCGCTGTGGCTTCCCCTGAAGAGGGAACAGCCAAACAATTAAATTGTACTTGTATAGTTGTAGAATATCAGTTTAAAAAAAATCTTAACTAAAAAACAAATATTGCCTCAACATACTTTGCCTGTTGAACTTTAAGACTGTGTCTACTGTGTGAACTTTACAAAACAACATAAAAGGCCAGATTTCACAGATTATCTTCAGGGTCTGCTCTGGATCCAGATATAATTTATTACAATAAGACTATTAGACAATAAGAGTATAAACTGTGAAAACTTGAAACCCGTTTTATTTCTTCCCAACCAGTCTAGAGCGCCAAGAGTCAGTCGCCACCACCGAGGCACGTTTAAGAATGGAAGGAGTTGAACTTAAGGAAGAGTGGCAAGACGAAGATTTTCCAGGGTATTCCCAAACACCCAGACATCAAAAACATCATAGCTTTGTATCCCATGTTGGTATTTACAAGGGCAATATTATTTCTGATAAATCATTAGGCCTCTCTCAGAGGAAGAAGAGCTTGAAGATCAGCTTTTTTCTGGAGCCTCTGAAGAAACGGACCCTGGTAATCAAAGCACCATATCATATACTGTACATATTTGCACGTTTTTAAAAACATGAAATAATGAAAATCTTGTATATTTTCATCGTAATCCTTAATCTCACGTAATGTCGTGTTAAAAATGCAGAGATTTGCTGTTTATTTGCACATTTTGAAGTTTAGGTGATACTGATATGAGAGGTCAGCACTCTGAGTTGGATAAATGTTTAGTTAAAAACAATTGGGGGATGTTTTTCAGAGCAAATAACAGTGGAACAAAAACTGACCTGGAGAATCGTAAACTCACAGGTACTGTGTTTTTATTTTTTGACACTTTGCTCTCTGTCTTAGGCTATGTGGCGAGCCATGACAAGAAGACTAAGAAAAAACTTTTAGCTCCAGACATCAGCCTGACACTGGACCGTAGTGATGGTTCTGTTCTCTCTGATGAGCTGGAGGAGAGCACAGAGCTGGACCTCGATGCAATGGACACGCCGTCTGACAACAGTAACGAGTTTGAATGGGAAGGTAAGGACTTGCTGTCATGGAAAAATACTGAATCTCTGCTTTAGCACTGGAGCATTCAATCCCCACCCCCCTGTGTTTTTATTTTATTAACAAATATAATATTCCTTTCCAGTGTTTGAAATGCTAAGAAAGTTACACATTGAACCCAGTTATGGAGATATTTGAATGTAATTTAATGTCCAGCTTGTAGAAGAAACACACTGACCTGTTTTACACCTGTGGACATTTTCTTTCCCTGCTGTTTTTTTTTTACAGGTTTGCATTGGCAGCTTACTGCCTCAACTTTAGTTAAATATGCTTTGTTGTTTTTGTGTTTCCTCATTGCCACCTCTTCCTCTTTTTGACTTGGAAGACATGTTTCCCTTGTCTGCCTGGAAACAGGCTGCAGGCCAGCAACAGGTTTCGCTCTTCTGTGTGGTAAGGGCTCCTGGACAGGATTCATTCTTCCTTTTATTTTTCCTCCTCACAAAACACAAGTCAATCAGTTCCTGTTGTCCTAATCATCAATTGTTCAGACGAATGCTTCACTCCCTTTCATTTTCACGTTGCTTGAGCGGTTTTCTCCTAATTTCCATTTTGCCTTTGTATAATGAAAAGATTGCTTCTTATTAGAACCTGACTGATGTGGAAATTTTGACTATCGCCGATACCGATATTGGGAGGGGAAGGCTAATGCCGATAACCAATATAATGGCTGGAACATTTTGTGCTTTGTCCACCCCCAAGAATCTAAGAAAACAGCTACTTTTAAATCTTTTTTAACACTTGAAGTCTTGAAACAGTTTTCCTAACCTGCCTTCACATTTTCTATCCTCCAGTATTCTCCATAAAGTTATCAAATGTGTTACAAAAATATAAATTAAACAAAGAACTGCCCTTCCCTGTTCATTGTCCAGTAAGTCATGTATGTTGAAGGCCTAATTACCATAGTACTGACCGCAGCAGCGGGTTTGTTTTCTTTGCAGAGAAGTAAAAGTTTCAGACAAACAATGCATTTCATTGAGGACAACAAGGATATTGTTACTAACACCGATATGTTATATTTATTATTCTGGATAAAGTTTTAAAAGGCAATAGCCTACGCTAGATTATCTAAATAACCTATTGGGGGAGTGGTGGCGCAGAGGTTAGAAGATGGGCCTGTGATAATAAAGTTGCAGGTTCAACTCCCGGTACCGTCAACATCAAAAATATGCGGGTGGAAAAGGTGGAATACCCACACCTGCCTCCACCCTCATTCACCCGCAAGGCCCTTAACCCCCACCATCTGCTCCCTAAACAGGTCTCTCTTGAAACTGAGTTCTCGTGGCTCAGTGAGACTACCTGGATAAATAAAGGGTAAATGAAAAAAAAGAAAATAAAAAAATGTTACCTTGCTAACGTAAGAGGCACGTAGCTAATGACAAGCGGGTTGGAGGATCGAAGAGAATTTATTGTTGATTTTTTATTTTATTTTACAGATCAGTTAAAATAAACTCACCATGCTCTGTTCAGAAAAATACGTTCCATGCTCACTGCTTTGGCTGTGCTGAAAGTGAAAGGGAACGGCCATGACTTGAAAGTAGTCTTCATTCGCCCTCTGCTGGATACATTACAATTATGCATTTTGCAAGTAAGGAAGGACATGGCTTGTTCCCAGTGTTTAAATCTGCGCATAATGGGACAATTATCATTGATACTGATAGGTCCCCAAATACCTATATCGGCCATACTGAGATATCAATCGGGGCTCTACTTCTTATTACCCTAAAAAGAGCTTCTTTTTTTTTACTGTTTATGCTACTTGTTTTTTAGTAATTTAACAACGTATTGAAAATTATATTTTAGTTTTTTTTCTTGCAATTGCTTGGCACAGTCAAGAAAAACGGAGACGGCAGGGCAGCATAATTTAGTTTTTGATTTGTTACATAGCTTTTCTTTGGTCACACTTTTTTTTTTTTTTTTTTCTGAATCAAAGTTTCTTTATTTGGCATACGCACCACATGGTACATGTGGTGGAACGAAACTGTGTACACAGGGTCCCGTCCCAGTTGCGTCCAACAAGAGTATAAATTGTAAAGAAAAACGGTAATAAGATCTAAGATTTGAACTAAGAAAAAGGTTAAAGTAAAAATACGCTAAGCACTAGTAGTACAAAGACAAAAGGCTGAACAACAACAACAGCAGCACGAACATGAGTCTGTGTGAGCAGACTGCATGATTTTAAAATTTATAAGAGTGAGTTATAAAAAGAAAATATTGAAGAGTTTGTATTTAAAACACAATGGAATTTTAGCAACAGTTATCTAAAACAAATGTTTTCTAATCTGAATTAAGCATATGTCGAGGTCAGTGTGATTTTTTATTTTTTTTTATTTATTTATTTATTTATTTATTTTTGGTTCTGCTTGTTGCATGCATGATATCAGTACTTTATTTGTTGTCATGTAAAAAGTACACAGAAATACCCAAGGATCTCTTTGAGTGGTGTGTTGCTTTGAATAGAAATGTTAACAGCATTTTATGACATAGCACCCCCCCCCCCCCCCTTCCAAAAAAAAGCCCCCTCCAAAAAAATGTTGCCTTTTCTCTTTGAAATAGAAGGGAACAGTGAAAAGTGATTAAAATGTAATTGTTGGTGTTTAATTTCAGTGAGGGGAAAGCATGCTGTCTACATACAAAAATAATAAACCAATAAATTTGGTGTACTTGATTGAAAAGTGAATAAGTGATTTAAAAATTGTCTAATGTATTTGAATCAAATCCTGATTAGTTGGATCACATCACACCCAAGTACTGCAGCAGTAGAACTGTTAGCTTAAAACGCCTTTTTTAATATTTCTCAGATGATCTTCCGAAGCCAAAACCCACAGAACTACTACAGAAAGGTGTGGCGACAGTTCAAGAATACTCGGCAACAGAGGAGAGAGAAGAGGATCGACGATGGAGGCTTTTCCGTGTTGGAGATCAGGATCACAGAGTGGATATGAAAGCTATTGAACCCTACAAGAGGGTTATCAGCCATGGAGGTCAGTACTGTTCATTAAAATCTACAAAGTTGTATTGAAGTTTTTTTTTTTTTTTTTTTTTCATTTAAAAGTTATGTTTATGTTTTTATTTTTTTTTTTTTTTTTTTTTTTAATGTTTGCATTCTTCTCTCTAGGTTACTATGGAGATGGTTTGAATGCCATAATTGTATTTGCTGTGTGCTTTATGCCTGAGAGCAGTCAACCAAATTACAGATACATAATGGACAATTTATTCAAGTGAGTCTCTGAATGAGTTTTGCCCATCGAGCATGCATTATAGAGCGTACACTAACGAAGGCGTCCTGTTTCAGGTATGTCATTGGCACACTGGAACTACTGGTTGCTGAGAATTATATGATTGTTTATTTAAACGGGGCAACTTCTCGGAAGAAGATGCCATCTGTCGGCTGGCTCAGGAAGTGCTATCAGCAGATCGATAGGAGGTGAGTGAAACTGTCACAACCCTCATATCAAGTACTGGTTACTATAATCAAATACTAAATGGTACTTTACACTCTTTTGGGTATGTTTGTAATTTAAAATGAGTCATTATTTATTCCTTCTTTGTGTAGGTTACGGAAGAACTTAAAATCGCTGATAATTGTACACCCTTCTTGGTTTATTCGCACCCTATTGGCACTGACGAAACCTTTCATTAGGTATCTGAACTGTTTAAACCATTGGAAAAATGACGTCCACGAACATGTTTTTCCTTTTGGTAATATTTAGATCTTTGTCTTTTATTTTTACAGCTCCAAGTTTAGTCAGAAAATCAAGTATGTGTACAGCTTGACCGTCCTCGCTGAGCTTGTTCCAATGGAGTATGTGTCTATACCAGATTGTATCAAACAGTAAGTATGGCAACACATGGGCACGTTTTTAAATCACAGCATCACTGGATTGATAGTTTTCAATAATCTTTCGGCTAAAGTTGAGGCCAATACTGTATTATCTGCTTATATTAAGGAATGGTTCACAATTTCCAACATTTTCACAAGAGTTCATACATTAACATTGTACTACTGTTGCTGTCATTACATATTTGTACACGTCTCAAAATTGTTCAGAAAGTACAGAACAATAACATCGTAACATAAATCCTCTCTTTACAGGTCAGGGTTGTCTGATCATGAGCACTAACATCTTGGTCAACCAGAATCACATAAATTATTCAACTTTGATTTTCTTTAAGTATTAAAAAATGTTCAGTGCATCAAACATTGTCTATAAAGTTGCAAAATTACTTAAAAAAAAAGACAAACGCATCCAATGCATGGATAATCTGCCACATCCACAGTGTTAGTGCCATCAAGATGATCAGAGTTTATTGAAAGTGCACATATTCCAAAACTGAATTAATAAATGAATAAGTCAGCAGGGGCATCATGTATCAAAGAGTGTGCAGCTTTCATACTGAGTTGGTGTAGGGAGCAAATAAGTGCATGCACAGAAATACAGTATTCAGATTTATCAAACTGCACACGCACAGATCTGTACTCCTTCATACATCTCAATAAACATGGAACTGAGCACATACGAGACACCTCCATTTAAATATGCAAATATGTCCTGCAATGTATGATTCACCTCTCTGCACGATCAAAACTGATGTCTAGATGCAAGAAAGTTAAGAATTTCATAGAACTAGAGTCAATTAAGCTCCTAAATAAAGTAATAGTAAAAATGCCACGGTGTGTGTGGCTGTCAGAGCAGCACACGCTGCAGAAGTAACAAAAATATGAAATGGTCAGACATTAAGGGGAAAGTAAAGTGAAGAATGGCTGCCCATCGCCTCCCATTCAGTAATGTTAGACTCCACCTTTTGTACAAAATCCATGGAGTTTTATTGTAAATTAATGAAGTGAACTGGGGGAGGGTGGGGGGATCTGACAGCAGTACACTTCTAAAGCTGAAGCATTTTTAACTTTATTCTTGTGTTAATAACATAACAAAAGAAAAGCTTTGCAGAGAGTGGTGAAGGCTGCACAGAAGTCTGTTGGAGTCAGCCTCCCCACCATCACAGACATCTACACCACCAGATGCAGGAAGAGGGCCACCTGCATCATGAAGGACCCCACTCACCCAGCACACACTCTTTTTGTCCTGCTCCCCTCAGGAAGGAGGTTAAGGAGCATTAAGTGTAGAACCACTAGACTGAGGAACAGCTTCTACCCTGAAGGTGTTACTCATGAATCTCTAACCAGAATAATCACTGTGAAAAATTACATCATGTTGCTGCTGATCTGTTTCATGTTGCTGCTGATCTGTTTAATGTTGCTGCTGATCGATTTCATGTTGTGTTCATTCGTGCTCATCTGCTCACACAGACTCATGTTCGTGCTGCTGTTCGGCATGTTGTTTTTGTGCTATTAGTGCTTAGTATATTTTTATTAGCTTTCTTCTTAGTTCATATCTTAGATCTTATTACTGTTTTTCTTTTACATGTTATACTTTTGTTGGATGTAACACAATTTAATTCCACCACATGTCCCACATGTTGTGTGTATGACAAAGATCCTTGTATCCTTGAATCGTTACTTTAAACACGGAAGTATGGAAGCGAATGTGTCTCAATTTTCAAATTAAAATGGATTAATAGAAATGCTTTTCATTTTCAAAATAAAGCTGCATGTTTTGACTCATAAATAAAATTAAAAATAAATAATCCAAACTGCGTTTTCATTTTCTTCTCCAAGACTGCTCAATTTGTTTGTTTTAGATTTTATTTATGAGTCAACACATGCAGCTTTATTTTGAAAATGAACAGCATTTCTATTAATCCATTTTAATTTGAAAATTGAGACGCATTCGCTTCCGTAGAAGCACTCGGGGTTTATTTTCATTAAACAGATGATGTCAAGAAGCGAGTGACAGCCCGTCAGCTTCCTCTTAAAGACTCCGGCTGCTCGTGAAAATGTGAAAAATTGTGAACCACCCCTTAAACACTGTTTTATTGTTTTGTTCTGGTTTAAAGAAAATATATTTTTCACGTCACATTTTATTGCTCTATTTTGCTGCCAATAGGTTGTGTTACTAGTTATTGGGTGATCAGTTGAGTTTTTTTTTTTTAATTAATTTAGTTTTTTATTATAAATAAAAGCAAAGTTAGCAGTCGAGTTGAAAACTCTTAAATTTGTTCCTTAGTTTACAAAAAGCAGGTTAAAATCTTTTAATGTGGAGATTGTCACAAAACATTAAGAAGTAAAAAGAAAAGCATCACTTTCTGCATTTGTCCTCAGTTCGCATCAATCGTATTATTTAGGATAAGTATAAATGTTTAAACATTTTATTTGCTTTAGTTAGCTTTATTATCTGTAGAGAGCCAGTAAATCTTCGGTTGACGTTTTGCTCTTCTTGGTTTGTTGTTGCTGTTGGCTGTGTCGTTTTTCTCTGCCTAAACCAGTTTTCCTGCCCCCTCCCCATTTTAAGGTTTGATGCTGAAAAAAATAGGAAAAGCCATGACAGGTATATGCACTTTCACTCTAGTTCAAGCTTTGCATCTTGGCATTTCATAAAAACTAACAATGGAATGATTACAGAAATTCACCAAGTCACCTGTGATCGTACGGAAATTTAAATCGAGTCATTTCCTGTACCTTAATAACCAAAATTATCAACTTTCTTTAGCAAATCTTCATGTCTTCCAAGTGATTTAGGATTAAAAAAAGACTTGTTCCTAAACTAGGTGGCTTGGAGGTTGTTAAACCAACTCAATGTTTTGTCTGAGCCTCGTTAGTAGCTCAGAATGATGTCAGACCTTTCTGTGTAGAGCCCTGTGTAATTCTTAAACCTTAGATTTTATGTTTAGTATTCTCTTTTTTCATAATGACGTTAGCCGTCACCCAGCCTAGTATCAAGTTTTAATAGTTTCAAGGTTGTGTACGTTGTCACACTTACTGACTCGTGTCGTGCAAATAGCAGCTTAATTAGAGTTTCATGTGCCAGATGTTTGCTAAGTTCTTTGTGTTTGTATATGTGAGTGGCTGTTAACCCAAAGGAAGTAGCTTGTCTTAGTCACTGTGGTGCGTGTGTGTGTGCACGTGTGCATGTGTGTGGTTGCATTGTTGCACATTAACCATGTCATCAGTATCTGACCTTCACTGAACACTTGGCTTGTTTACTCTCCCAGCGTTTTGCACATCTCTGCACCGCCGCTCCTCACTGATCTCTGGTAACTGCCAGAGTCATTTTGTTGGCTTTGCTTATGTCCACTGGAGCACACTGCTTGTTTACTGACAGGTTGTGACTGTTTAATTGATGAACTAGTTAGCACACTTGAAGGATAATGATTGAAGGTACCCGAAAGAGTTGCCTTGTCAGGTTGTATCTGACATCCGTCATATTATAGGAACAGTCTCCAGAACAGATGTGAGGGAAGGAAGGTGCGTTATGTTGGAGAGCAGTCTTCAAGCTGCCTCTCATAATGAAACGTTCACAATTTTTTCCACCGATTAGAATAAGTTGCAGGTGATGAAATCCAATTTTCCAATGAACAGATTTTACTTTTTTTGTAGGAAAACGATCAGGGTGTTTACCTTTTTAATGGTGTCGTTTTGTACAGAAAGTATTCTTGTCCAACTAAAGGATAGGTTTAGTGAAAATGTGTGAGGAGACTGATCATGTTTCAGGATGTTCGTGATCTGATAGATGCCCTCCAAGTCTCACAGCTATCCCATGACTTTTAATTGTGTCTGCAGAATCGACCAGGATATGCACAGGAAAGTGGAGACCGTTGCTGCTGCTGTTCCAGAGTGACACGCTCACCCCTGCAAGATGAGGAGAACGATGTAGAGCGTTTCAAACACGTGCTGCCCATGTGGTTCTGTTCTGGTCCACGCGACAGAAAACTTTGCTGCATCAGGAAAGTGCCTTTTTGAATCTATGCTGTCTGTTACAATACCAACCTATTATTTTTAGTCAAGCGGTTTAATCCTTAGCGTTTTGTCCATATGCTGTCCCAAATGTTCCTTTTTGTTTTGTTTTTTCTCAGCTAATCTTGTATAAAATGTCAGACTCGGCTCATCGATGTACCATATTTACTGTTGTATGTAAACTTTATTTAACACACTCTGTTAAAAGTGGTTGATGCATGTTCTGCTCTATTGCATTTAAATATATATTTATATTCAAAATATGGCAAAGGAGAGAAATTAATATATTTTTATGGTCTGATTTGAAAACTGCATCTTAGTTCTCTGACTCACTGAGTGGCATTTTTAATGGGAAAATTTGACAGCACTTTTTCACTGTTCACTGCTAATGTTTTCAGTTTAAATCAGGGGGAAATAAAACAAATGTTAGGGGGTTTTTTGTTTGTTTTTTTACCACTTCTTATGAATTTCTCCTCTGATTATTGGGAAGTGAGCATTTGTAGAAGCAGTCTGAAACAATCAGTTAAAAATATATTTCTTGTCAAAAAATATTTTCAGTAAAGCTATAAGTCAACAAGTTTCCTTGTGTTTTTTTAAAACTTTTTTAAAAGTTGCTTATATTGTGAAAAGGAAAATGCACAAATCATCATGTTCTTTCCCGTACATACATTTAACACATTTCAAATGTTTAGGCAAAATCATGGCATTTGTTTCTTAAAGAGTTGATGCAGATCTTGTAGACAGCAGTAAATGTCATCTACAGTTGCGATTTATTTTTTTTAACTCTTATCGCCCCCAAAATGTATGAATTTTATTGAATTCATTAAGACATTATTTTAAACAAGACTTAAAATAACATTAACTATAAAAAATGTGACAAGTTTTAAAAATTTCTGTGACAATGACAACCATGACAGTACATTTAAGATGTTTCAAAAGATTAAAGCATTTCAGATGTTAAAGAAAAAATCCTGAATATTCCTGGGTTGGCAGGGGATCTTGACCTAAAGCTCTGAAACGCAGAATTGACTCCACACACCTGATGGCGACATCATCAACTTCAGGGTCAAACTTATTTGCAAAGAGGTGGTGTTGTCTCAGGAGCCACAGGAGGTCACCAGCTCCATACACACAAACCTCTCTTTGGTATTTCCCTGTGCAATCAGAGTAGGGGGCTCCTTTTTTAACATCTCCTGCAAAAAAAAGACCACTTTGTCAAACGTACAATAGCTCCCATATCAACATATACACACACATATATATATATACACGTATATATACATATATACATATATATACATATATACATATATATACATATATATATATATATTAATATATATACATATATATATTAATATATATATATATACACACATATCTATACAGTGAGGAAAATAAGTATTTGAACACCCTGTGACTTTGCAAGTTCTCCCACCTAGAAATTATGGAGGGGTCTGAAATTTTCATCTTAGGTCCATGTCCACTGTGAGAGGCATAATCTAAAAAAAATAAGGAAATTACAATGTAATTTTTTTTTTTTATTATTTATTTGTGTGTTACTGCTGCAAATAAGTATTTGAACACCTGCCAATAAGCAACAATTCTGGTCCTCAAAGACCTCTTAGTCCGCCTCTAAAAAGTCCACCTCCACTCCACTTATTATTCTATATTAGAAGCACCTGTTTGAGGTCGTTAGCTGCATAAAGACACCTGTCCACCACACACAATCAGTAAGACTCCAACTACTAACATGGCTAAGACCAAAGAGCTGTCCAAAGACACCAGAGACAAAATTGTAGACCTCCACAAGGCTGGAAAGGGCTACGGGGCAATTGCCAAGCAGCTTGGTGAAAAAAGATCAACTGTTGGAGCAATTATTAGAAAATGGAAGAAACTAAACATGACTGTTTATCTCCCTCGGACTGGGGCTCCATGCAAGATCTCACCTCGTGGCGTATCAGTGATCCTAAGAAAGGTGAGGAATCAGCCCAGAACTACACGGGAGGAGCTGGTCAATGACCTGAAGAGAGCTGGCACCACTGGTTCCAAGGTTACTGTGGGTAATACACTATGACGTCATAGTTTAAAATCATGCATGGCCCGGAAGGTTCCCCTGCTTAAATCAGCACACGTCCAGGCCCGTCTTAAGTTTGCCCATGACCATTTGGATGATCCAGAGGAGTCATGGGAGAAAGTTCTGTGGTCAGATGAGACCAAAATAGAAGTTTGCTGCTGGTTAGTATCTGCTGGAAGTGCCTCACTCAAGGTGCAAACACTGGGGGGACCGGCCCTTTTCTTTTGCAGGTATTGAGACAAATGTGCGTTATTTGTACTCAAAATGATCAATCACTCTCCTGTGGGAATGTTCTGCAACGTCCTTCTGCTCATGTGTTGATGTGTGATATTAACGGTCCCATGTAATCACTCCTACTGTGACAATCAGGAGCAGAAGGAACTGGTACAATGATCTGATTGAGATGATATGACATGGTACCGTTGCTCAAGCAGTCCTTGACTCATATTCACTCCTCTGTGCCTGCAGTGGACCCTTGGATGGACAGCTCTGACACAGAGGAGAGGAGCTGAGGACTGGACTGGAAGATTACTCTAAAACGGATTTGTCCGGTCCCAATTTTAGAGCAGACCAGAGTTTTCACATGGACGAGGACACTGATAAGAGTGTAATCTTGTATATTGCATGTCCTGTGAATTACTGCACTGTTTCTCCAAAGCTTTATAAATAAATCTGATGAACTACACCTTGGTCTGTTCTGGGAATCACCTTTTTTTCCACAACACAGGCCCAACAGCCTGGAATACTCTTCTCTATGAGTTGCGTGCCATCTCTGATCTGGTATTGTTCAAAGCAAAATTGAAGACCTATTTATTCAAAAGGGCTTTTGATGTTTAAATTTTAGTATTTAGTATTTTTTTAATATCCTTTACCTCCTTTTATTGTGGCTCTATTTTTAATTTGTGCCCTGTTTTTATTTGTTTTATCTTGTAAAGCACTTTGGTCAATGAAATGCATTGTTGGAAGGTGCTATATAAATAAAGTTTATTATTATTAGGCCTGAGCAGCGAAGCACTGCGAAGGCCTATTGTAATCGCTCCGTTCATTAGGCCCGAGCAATTTTTCCTCAAATGAATTGGACTTTTGGACGCCTTTACATATCCCAAAACTCACCAAATTTGGCAGACGCATCAGGACTGGTAAAAAATTACGTATTTTAAGGGTGTCGCAAAAATCGCAACAGAAACGGCTCAAGAGCGCCACCTGGAAATTATCAAAATACCCTCCGCCATAACCTTAGTTGGTCGTAGAAGCATAAAATTTGGTACACTTGTCCAATTCCCCAAGATGCACAGAAAAACCTCTGGCACCAACATTGTACGATAAACAGGAAGGCGGCCATTTTGGAATGCCGTCCCAAATTTCACACCTTTTTGGCGGTTTACAGCCTCCGCATTTGAACTCCTCCTAGGGATTTTGCTCAATCGGTTTCAAACTTGGCCATTTTTTTCAGAAGGCATGGGGGAAGAAAAGTTATCTAAACGGTGCACTTCGGAGCATGCTGAAGGGGCTGGGCCAGACCTCAAAATTTGACATCTCGCAATGAAAAACGAAACGCTATTAGCTCCTACTTGAAAACTGTCTGAGACATCAAACCTTCACTGATTGATCCACATCCAGTCCCCTGCATGACTAAATGGTCAAATCATGACATCACTTAAGCCACGACTCCTGAGAACAGGAAGTGTAAAGTTTTACGTCGACTGGTCCCTATCTGACCCCTATGATCGTGATAGTGTGTTCAGTGACCGAAGACATGTTGCTGTAACTTGCTTTCCAACACTGACAGTTTGGGGTGGAGCATGTGGGCGGCGCAGCGTGGCGAAGTAAGATGTAACGCTGTTGCCATACATTTGGCTCTAAATTGCACAGATTTGAGCCGAGGTTCACCAAAATCAGTATGATCGATCATTATCCACCCCTTAAACAGGGATCCACGATAAGTAGCCAATAGCCTCCACAGCGCCCCCTAGAATATTTTAAAACTTCAGCCCCAAGCCATTTTTGGACCGATAATTCTGAAACTCTGTGAACATCTGTATCTTCTCAGGGCCTATGAAAAAGTCTCTTGAAGCCCTGGTCCAAACTCAACAGGAAGTTGAGGCCATTTTGGGTCAAAGGGGCATTTTTGGGCATTTCTAATGGCAAATTTTTACAAACTCCTCTTAGGGATTTTGAAGAATTACCTTCAAACTTGGCTAATATGCCCTTAACACATTGGGGAGTAAAAGATATCAAAAGCTCGTGTTTTCATTTATATTAAAGGTGTGTGGCCAGGCCTCAAAATTGTGCTTCACACCATAAATTTCCAAACGCTATAACTTTCACATTGAAAGACCGAAATGCACCAAAATTGGCATGAGTCATCCCTGTTGGATGCCTGACAATACTCTGTGGTCATATTCTGGTGTCATCAAAGCCCTGCCCCCTCAGAACAGGAAGTCACTTTTTTTACTTGGAATGCTCTCTCTCTAAAACCCTTGACCTAATCAGGGTGATCCTGTGTTAGAAGACATATAACAAGTTGGTCGGACTTGCTTTAAATTAAAAACAGTTTTCGCTGGAGGATATGGGCGTGGCAGCGTGACAAATTCAGAAGTGACGCCGTTGCAATACGTTTGGCTCTAAATTGCACAGATTTGAGCCAAGGTGCACCAAAAACACTATGATTGATCATTATCCACCCCTTAGACACACTGGTATCGTTCTTTAACTTTTGACTCCAGTGCACCCCATACATTATTCCAACAGTTAGATCTCAGTGATACATCATCTGAAAATGTGCCACATTTATTGTGCGTATTCAGTGAGAACTTATAGACACAATGATATTGTGGTTTAACACGTGAATCCAGTGCGCTCCCTTGATGATTCCAACAGTTATATATCAGTGAAACATCATCCGATCTGCACCAGATTTTCTGTGCATGATCAGTGAGCACTTATAGACACATTGGTATTGTTGTTTAACTTTTGACTTCAGTGCACCCCCTAGATTATTCCAACAGTTATATATCAGTGATACATCATCCGATATGCGCCAGGTTTATTGTGCGTAATCAGTGAGCCCTTCTAGACACATTGGTGTTTTGGATTCATGACCTCACTTAAGCCCCACCCACTCAGAGAAAAAACTGTTGATTAATGGGTGACTCTTCAAGCTTCGCCCTGTGTAAGATATAAGACTGAAACTGTATTCGCTAACTGTTGATTACCACACATGACATGTTGAAAAGCATAAAGGAAGTGCTCCTCAAACATTCACCACAAAACAGAAAGTCACAATAACTCTTGTCTAGAAGGTCAAATTTCGGCCAAACTTGTAAGGCTTGCAGCTGGACTCATATTGATATGGGCGGAAAGTGATTTCATAGGTTAGGCATATGCGCAGCTGCCTCTCAGCGAGCAGGTCCTTGGTTCAAACCCCGGTCCAGGGGCCTTTCTGGGTGGAGTTTGCATGTTCTCTCCGTGCATGCGTGGGTTTTCTCCGGGTACTCCGGTATCCTCCCACAGACCAAAAACATGCATGTTAGGCTGATTGGTAACTTTAAATTGTCCCTAGATGTGAGTGAGAGAGTGACTGTTTGTTTGTCTCGTTTGTCTCTATGTGGCCCTGTGATGGACTTGCGACCCGTCCAGGGTGCCCCCCGCCCCTCTCACAGTGATTGCTGGACATGGGCACCGGCAAACCCCGTGACCCAAAATGGAATAAGCGGGTAAAGATAATGGATGGATGGATGGATGGAGGCATATGCGCACCCTAGTGGACGCGTGCAGGAATAGAATGAGAGCGTTCACAATTGCGACTGGGAGGTGTTGCTGGAGCTCCGGCGGTCACAGGTGATGTTGAAGATTTGGCAAATGCGCACTTTGGTGAACGGCTGTGGGATAGGCATGAGAGAGTTTGTGATGGTGACTGGGTGGACCAGCTGGAGCCCCCGCGCTTGCTGTAAGGCCAGAGCGGCGCTTTGCTGTGAGGACCTTCAATGCTGCTTGCAGCTTTATTTATTATTATTATTATTATTATTATTATTATTATTATTATTATTATTATTATTATATGGATGCAGTTGAAGAGGATATGGAGGTAGTTGGAGTGAAGACAGAGAATGCAGAGGACAGTGTGAGATGGAGGAGGATGACACACAGTGGAGACCCCTTATGATGGAACAGACAAAATAATTCATGTGAACAGAGATTAAAGTAACTGAAAATAATGCTATTTATAAACATACACGTGAAACTAACGTTAACAGAAAGTTAAAAAACTTTAGAATTTGAAACAAGAAAAAAGTAAAGCAGTGCAGTGCTCTCCATCTCAGTCATGAAAAACAGGATTGTGTAACCCTAAAACAGATATGACTCACAATGTCTGAAGATTAAATGGACTGGACTTGTATATCACCTTTCTATCTTATCAAGATACTCAAAACTCTTTACACTACAATCTGTGTCCTCATTTACCCATTCATACAGCGCTGTACTAGATCTCTACAATGCTAATTGAACAAATCATTCAAAAGAGACTAATCAGAGCTTTATCACATTCATAGACTGATGGGACCACATCGGAGGAAATGAGGGGTTCAGTGTCTTGCCCAGTGCCACCTCGGCACGTGACTGCTGGATTCGAACCCCCAACTCTTGCATTGGAGAACGGCTGCTCTAACCACTCAGCCACAGCCGCCTTTTAGTGCCACCTGACATTTTTATTTGCCAGAAATTAATTTTTTATTCATGCAAAATAATTTTGAATGTATTTTTAGTTGTGTAAACTCAACAATGTCAAATAAATAGTGAGCCTGAACATTTATACAAATCAGTGTGCAGTGTAACATTTATTGATGTTATGGTTAATTTTTGTGAGATTAATGTCACGGCATGCAGTGTGGGTTGCTCCTTGTTGGAGTCAGACTATCATATTTGAAGATATGTTTATCTGCAAGGACTTTGTCGGCTTTAAGTTCTGTGTGTGTATGCGTGTGCATATGTGTGTGTGTGTGTATGTGTGTGTCTAATGTCAACAGGCTTGTATACATTTGGATGCTTTTAAAGAGGCACCAGATTAAATGATTTCAGATGAAGCACATAAAAAACATTTTTGTCAAATTGTTAAAATAAATGTTTCAGTTAACCCTTGAGTCCTCTGTTTTATACAGGACTAAAACAAAACACAAAAATCCAATTATCACAGGAACATTTGTTTAACTTTATTTAAAAACCATATGAAGAGAAGATATTGTACAGTCAGAAGGCATATAAAATTTTATTTTTTATGCTGTGAAGTATTTTGATTTGTTCTTATTGAAATTTACAATAAATCATGCAGACTGCACAAACCAGTGCCAAGTTTCACTCACACAAAAACATTGTTTTTTAGGTTTATGAAAATATACAGACATTTATACAATTTAGGGCAGTTGTTCAATTATTTCTCATGCATTTACCAAAAAAAAGCTGTTTTCACTTATCAAATTTTACATTTTACATCAGTCTTCATAGGGAACAAACACAGCAAGCATTTAATGACAGCACACACTGTCATGATGGTCAAAACATGCAACTTTACAGAACTGAAAAAAAATAAAGATTTGTTATTAGTATGCACAAAACTAAAACTATATTTTTTTAAACTATGGCAAAAAAGTATTGCTGGAAAAATGAAAAATAGCAGCTGTGTGCACCCCCAAATGTAATAACTGCCTTTCAATAAGACATTCCATCAAACATTTTTTATATCAACATGGCTTATGCAATTATATATTTGAGATGTTTCAGAGGTTTAAAGCATTTCAGATGTTAAAGAAAAAATCCTGAATATTCCTGGGTTGGCAAGGGATCTTGACCTAAAGCTCTGAAACGCAGAATTGACTCCACACACCTGATGGCGACATCATCAACTTCAGGGTCAAACTTATTTGCAAAGAGGTGGTGTTGTCTCAGGAGCCACAGGAGGTCACCAGCTCCATACACACAAACCTCTCTTTGGTATTTCCCTGTGCAATCAGAGTAGGGGGCTCCTTTTTTAACATCTCCTGCTAAAAAAGACCACTTTGTCAAACGTACAATAGCTCCCATATCTGTCACATCATACAAGGAGTGAGCAGGTGTAGACAAAGGAACAGAAGGCATCCTCTGTAGAGTGGCCCAGAAGGTTTCATCAGGGACAAACGTGTCTTTCTCCCACTCCATAAAGTACTGCACCTCTTTGTTGTTGTATTCTATCAAATGTTTCACCAAGACCCTTGAGAAAATGAAGTAGGCACTTCCTTGGAACATGGGGACACTGATAGGGGGAGGACTCTTATTTACAAATGTCCGAGTGATATTGCCAGTCGTGACATTGAAATGAAACTTCCAGCGAAATTTGTGGGTGGATATTACGGGCACAGATTCCAGATTGTTTCTGCCATTTAGGGCTTTCAGAGCCATCACCATCTCTCTGTTTGTTTTGATGGGAAAGTCTGTCCCGCAGGTGTTCAGCAGATATTTCCACTGGACGTTAGATTTCAGCAGATCCTTCATACAGTTCAGATCTGCCTGGACTCTGGTCCAAGCAGCATATAGAACATTTTCTAACTTGCTGGCTATGAATACATTAGGAAAGCAGGAAACTATAGACCTCACAGCCGTCTGAAACTCCAAAGGTGATTTGAGATCCACATGTATGCAGTAGATGTTCTGAGGAGCATAAATAGCTCGTAGGAGTCGCTCAAACATCTCAATCTTCTCATGGATCACAATAGAGAATGCAATAGGGAAATGTTTCTCCTCCTCACTCAGAGGCACCGTAATGAAACTCCTCTTCTCAATGAAAGCTGGACAGTCCTTTGTGACATTGATGTAGAAGTCTGCAGGCAAAGCAGGTCGTTTCCTGGATGCTTGAAGAGCTTCTAAGGTGGTCTTCTTCCTTTCTGCATTCCCACTGATGATAGCTAAACAGCCAGGCAGATCTTCAGAGAACTGCTGTGGTATTTGGTGATAAGAGGAAAGTGCTTTCTTAAATGCGTTGTTCCAAAAAACAGTAAGAAGAATCAAAACCATAAATAAAAAAATCTTCAACGGCATCTTTTTCTTCAGAAAGTTTGAGAAAAGCATTTTCCTTCCTTGAAGTTGTGAGAACAGTTGTGTCTGCAATTTATTGTTTGAGGGAGAGATGCAGCACTTAATCTTAAGAAAAGTAAATCACTCATATATGGAGGTGTGTCAACTAAGCTGTGACAAGAGGGTCCTCTGTGTGACTTCACTTTAAGACTTTGTCAAGGCTCGAACAGTTTCAGATCAAATCTTCAAGTTGATGTTTATGTTCTGATTAGTTTATCTTAACTCACTGTCTCAGTGTTCTGTGTGATTGTCTGTACTTTGTTAGTCACAGTGTCTGCCATATTCCAAAATAGGTTTATCTTCAAGGACTTTGTCGGCTCAAGTTTGTGTGTGTGGTTCTAACATCAAGAGGACATGAAAAAGCACAAGTTTAAACGTTGATACTCCTAAAGGGGAAGAAGCAAGATTTTCTATGGTAAAACTCATTTTAGTTTGTCTAATTTTTCAAATAGGTGTCTCTTTTATTTATTAATTTATTTCTGTCGTTTTGATCATCCATCCATCCATCCATCCTTTAAATTTTACCCGCTTCTTCCATTTTGGGTCATGGGTGTCGCCGGTGCCCATGTCCAGCAATCACTGTGCGAGGGACGGAGTACACCCTGGACAGGTCTCCAGTCCATCACAAGGCCACATAGAGACAATCGAGACAAACAACCATTCAGTCTCTCTCTCTCTCACCTAGCCTAACATGCATGTTTTTGGTTTGTTGGAGGAAACCAGAGTACCCGGAGAAAACCCATGCATGCACTGAGAGAAAATTAATAATAATAATAATCATCATCATCATCATCATAACTAGAATTCTAGAATTGCACCACTCAAGGTGGTTGCATGTTGGAGTAGCTATTTTACATTAATTCTGAGATTTTGCTTTTGGAAACTTGAATTACTCTTTTTTTTTCGTGGATGTAAATAGTTTTTTTCGGATGAGTATTTCCTCTGGTATCAGATGCTGTGCCGCTGGAAGGATTTTTAGTGAAAGCTTTTTTACTTTTGGTATTATGCGTTGCCATAACAACAATGTAGTTTTCTACAACCGGAAGCAGATGATTAACATCTCAAAAGCTCAAAAATACCTCAACTATAGCCCCAAATCCCAAATTAGTTGAAAAGGAGGTGTTGTGGATTCATTCCCGTCTACCTAGAGGTGATGCTTGAGTGCCTGACCACTGAGATCTTGGAGGTGGCTGGAAATGCGGCTCGTGACAGTGGGAGGACCAAGATCGTCCCCCAGCACTTGCGGTTTCGTCCACGGCATTGAGGGGCTAAGCAGTCTGCTGGGAGGAATGGCAATCGCTGGGAGAGGAGTTCTACCTGGCATTCAGGCAGTCCTGCCCAAGAGGACTGAGAGGTCTCATGGGTCTAGGCAGATGGATTGGCACCTTCAGTCAGTTTCTTCGGATGTGCTGTGGGACAGACTGCTACAAGAGTTTCTTCGGATGTGCTGTGGGACAGACTGCTACAACAGATCCTTCCTGCCCAAAGCCATCAGCATCTATAAAAACTCTAATGAAACCAAGATGAGCTACAACAACAATTTGGGATTAATAAAGTATTTTTGAGTTGAATTAAATTGAACAACAACAAATAAAACACTAATCTGACTAAATTTGAGTCCTTGAATAAATCCAGTGTAAATATACTGGAAGATGTTAAAAAGAGCAAAGATGTAGTTTTTTTTTATGTAGCATAAACTCATTTAAATGATTATTTACAACAAATCATGTATAGTGTACTGACTAATCCATCTTTTCTCAAATAGCCTACCAATTATTTAACAGTAAGTTATACTGTAAAATACAATATAAGCATTTACACAAATAAGTGTTGTTTTTCATTCACTTCTCAGTCACTTTTCAAATAAAGTTTGTGCTCACACTATGACAGACACTTGACACTTTAAAGAATAAAACTATGCATCCTAATCTTAAAAAATAAGAATAGCAAAGCAGTTTTTTTATTCTTCTGTTTTCCTAAATGTCACTTCAGCTACATTTTCTTTATAAGGACCTTTAACCAATCCATGTCTCAAGCTAGTCTATAATAATGCCCCTTAGGTAAAATTAGAACTCTGTTTTTTCATTCATTCAACCTTTATTTATACAGGTTAGTCTCAATGAGCCTCGTGGACTCATTTACAAGATATACCCATTTTTAACAGAGTGATGACAACAGTAGACAACAAAGACAAATATAGACAATCAAAAGAAAGCATGTTAATTGAGAAGAAAAAAGAAAAAAAAAGAAAACGGTATTAAAAAACAAAAGGAAAAAACAGCTAAATTGTAAAGCGATGTAGAGTACTAGAAAACTAAAAACAGGAACATGTCTGCATTGGTTTTTGCCATGAACTTGCAGATGTTTGAAGCCACTTAGAGAGGTCACAGTCGAGAGCTTCAGATCTTTTTGCAAGGTGTTCCAGGAAACAGGAGCTGAGTTGGAGAAGGCCCTTTTACCTAGTTCAGTCCTCACTGAGGGATCATTGCATGTAATAATGTCCTGAGAGCGCACGCTGTAGCTGCACTCATGCAGTGACATGTAGGAGGAGATGTAAGAAGGCAACAGACCAAGAAGCAATTTAAAGATGAAAATGTACCAGTGAGAGAGTCTGAGTGAAGTTAATGATGACAAGTTAACCAATGAATACAGGGTGCAGTGATGGGTATGGTAGTTACAGTCTGTTATGAATCTTTGCACACCGTGATAGGCAACATCCAACATCTGCAAGGTACTTGTAGAGGCGTTCATGTAAATAATGTCACCATAGTCAATGGAGGGAAGTAAAATTGCAGTTAAAAGGTGTTTCCTAGCATTCAGAGCTAGACAGGATCTACTTCTGAAAAAGCAAGCCAATTTTACTTGCAGTTTCTTTACCAAGTTTTCCACGTGTAGCTTAAAAAAGATGCAAATCGCCGAAGATACCCAAGTATTTGTAGTAATCGACAAACTCAATAGGGACACCATTTGATGATAAAATTGAGGAAAACTGCTGGGACCGACTTCCTTCTTGAAAACAACATCCCTTTGCTTTTGAGCTGCTAATTTAATAGCTAGCAGTTCCCTGTCACCAACGTCGCAGTTGCTTTCTGCAGTAGACAGCTGGCATGATAAAAAAAGCACATGGATGAAGCTTACCATCATCGGCTGCTCTTTGGGACAAAACAGCCCCGACACTTGAGTCAAAAGCGTTGACCTCTACAATGCCTCTTAACATCAGGATGGGATAAGATGGGAACTGTGGCAAAAATATATTTTAGCTGAGAAAAGTCTGATTCTGCTTCAGGAGTCTAACTGAATTTTCTGAGTGTAGATAAGCTGTGTCAGTGGAGTGGCCACTTTGCTATAGTTTTTGATGAAACGATAAAAACTAACAAACCCCAAGAAATGTTGTAGTTGTTTCTGGTTAGTGGGGACTGGCCAGTCCACAACAGCTTTGTTTTTTTTTTCGGGGTCAGATCGAACCTGTCCTCTCTCGAAAATGAAACCCAGGAATGGAACAGTGGTAGCATGAAACTCGCATTTCTCCACTTTTACAAAGAGTTGGTTTTCTAACAGTCTTTGGAGAACAGCTTTTACATGGTGTATATGTTGTTCTTTAGTCTTGGAGTAGATAAGTATATCATTCAGGTAAACAAATGCAAAGATGTTGAGAAAGTCTTTGAGGACAATGTTCACAAGAGCTTGGAACACCGCGGGGGCGGTGGTTAAGCCAAAAGGCATGACAAGATACTCATAGTGTCCTAATGGTGTCAAGCTGTTTTCCACTCATCACCCTCACAAATTCTCACAAGATGATTGACATTACGGAGGTCTAATTTTGTGAAGATGGTGGCTTCCTGGAGCTGTTCGTAGACAGAGTCGATCAGAGGGAGAGGGTACTTGTTTTTGATAGTGATTTGATTTAGCCCTCTGTAATCAATACAAGGTCTTAAAGACTTCTCTTTTTTTTGCCACAAAGAAGAATCCTGCCCCTACTGTTGAAGTAAAGGGGCAAATTATGCCAGATTTGAGGGATTCATCAATATAGTCTCTCATGGTCACTTTCTCGGGACCAGATAAGTTGTTCAGTCTACCTGTGGGTAGAGGAGCTCTAGGAAGTAAGTCAATGGAGCAGTCATAAGGCCTGTGTGGTGGTAAAGACAATGCTCTTGTTTGCTGAAGACTGGCACCATTGTGTGGTAAAGAGTGGGCACAATTGAGAGGTTCATTTCTTCATTTTTAGGTTTAGGATTTGAACCTGGAGAGATGGCTAAGGGAAGGCAAGCTCAGGAACATCTCTCACTCCATCTCTCAACACTATGTTCAACTCAGTTAATCTGGGGGTAAGGTAACTTTAACCAGGGGTGACCCAGAATGAGTTGAGGACAGGGGGAATCAAAAACAAAGAACTCACCGCTTTCCTGGTGATGCAGGACACAACAAACAATATTTTAGATGTTTTTAATGAGATAGAAGAGATGGTTTGTCCAGTCAGGGCATATATGGCTAGTGGATAATGGCTGGTGTCAGACTGACAGGTGGAATTTACAGCTCCTCTACCAGGCTTCGGCTGATGAGATTTTGTTCAGCACCAGAGTCAGTCAGGGCCTGTATAGGGACGTTGACAGAGTTAATGCATACTGTATAATCACTGGCAGGCTTAGTTTTTTCCAGGAGTTAATGATGTCATACCCACCAGTATTTCCTAAATTACTGGTGGGTACTGTCTTTTACCCGTAGGTGGCAGGCAGTGATTATGTGACCCTTCTTTCCACAATACATATAGACATTGGTGTTGAAGCAGCGCTGTCATTCCTCGGGGGAGAGCCAAGTCTTTCCAAACTGCATTGGCTCAGGTTCAGAAGTTGAAGCCGCTGGAGCAGGAGTAACACCTCTGGGTAGCGAGCATTTGCGGAAGTTCTAGTTCTCTTCCAACAGATCCTCACAAACTCTATTATCAATCTTTATCGCCAGGGAAATGATACCATCCAAATCAGCGGGGAGATCTCTGGTAACCAGTTGGTCTTTTATGTGTTTGTTTAATGCATTAATGAAGGCACTGTAGCACGGTCTCACCCCATTCGGATTCCTCTGCAATGTTGCGGAAGTGAATGGCAAATATGGCCACCGTCTCTTTTCTTTGGCGCATGGTGAAGAGTTTTTGAGCCACCTCCTCCTGTTGCAGGGGGGATCTAAAACTCGAAGAAAGTCCCTCAAGAAGGTGGTGAATGCCAAGGCTTCGATGGAACATCTGTGAAGGTAAGCATATGCCTACTGGAGCGCTTCTCCTTTCAGAGCGCTGACAACATAGGCTATGCAAGCAGAGTCTGAGGCATAGGTGGTTGGCACATGTTAAACGCCAGATTATATTGCAGGATGAAACCTCCACATTTACGTGTATTACATTCAAACATTTTGGAAAGTCTTGCATCTGGTTCCTTAGGAGGCAGGTTACTGGTCTGGACCACGGGTCTTGGAGGGGTAGTTTGGGTTATTGAGGAGGATTGGGCTATCATCTCCTTTTTGAAGAGCAAACGCCATGCCACCCAGCTCCCGAAGGTTGTCTTGGGTGGTTTGCTGCTGGGTTAGAATTTTTTGTAAAGTCACAGTATGTTGGTCAGTTTTTTCATTTAATCTTGGCTGAGCCTGAACCTAGTCAGTCCTACTTGGGGTATCTGTTTGGCCAGGACATTCTATCATGATTGTGTTTAGTGGCGACCCCTAAAGTAAGCAGACTAAGAATGAACGACAGAGTCAGGATGCAAAAGGTAAGTGAACTTTATTTACAGGTGCAGTGCCAGACATTTACAGGGCTGGAAGAGAGGAGAGGGCAAGGTGAGTATATTTTTGAATCTTCAGACAATCCTTGAAAATATGTTCTTTGAATGAAGAATAATTTCTTACTGTTTTGTGTGCGCCCTGAGGAGGAGTGGAGGGGTCTTAGGTTTTCCAGAAGATCTGGTGTTGAGGTGAGTATTGGTATAGAGAGGAGCAGGTTGATCCAAGCTGATTTGTTTGATGGCTGCATTTGATCAGACACCGTTGGTCCACAGGTGAATCACTGTGGAGAGATGAGGTCCTAAGAAGGACTTGGAGGAGCAGGATGTGGAAGGCCCTGGAGAGATCACAGGCGGTGAGGACCGGCTGTAATGAAAAAGTTAGTTGGCTGAACATAAGTTACTGTATAGTAGTTGATGTCCCAGCACTGAAGAGAGGTCTGGCAGGAGTATATATACAGTCCCAAATCAGGTCTCCTCAGGCAGCAGCAGGTGTAGTGAGTTGAAGGTGATTAGCCTTATATATAGAGAGAGAGAGTGAGTGACAGGAAACCCAGGAATCCAACAGGGCCAGGAGGTGGGAAAGATGAGTGAGAAAAAAGTCTGGAAAGCATTGAAGAGGATAAAGAAGGGGATGGCACTTGGACCTTATGACAGGACATCCTTTTAAAAGACATTGAAGATCTCAATGGATTTCTTCCTTGTAAAATAAAGGTATAAAAAAAATAAACCTGCAAGCAGCATTGGAGGCCCTCGCAGCATTGGAGGCCCTCGCAGCAAAGCGCCGCTCTGGCCTTATGGCGACTGCGTGAGCTCCGGCTAGTCCACCCAGTCGCCATTGCAAACGCTGTCATGCCAATCCCGCATGCATTCACCATGGGGCGCATTTCCCGAATCTTTGACATGGCTTTCTGTCCATCTCGTTACTCGTCCAGCTGCAGGTCTTACAAGTATAGGCGAAATTTGACCTTCCAGACAGGAGTTATGGTGACTTCCTGTTTTGTGGCTAATGTTTGACAAGCACTTCCTTTATGCTTTTCAACATGTCACGTGTGGTAATCAACAGTTAGCAAACAAAGGTTCAGTCTAATATCTTACACAGTGCGAAGCTGGAAGTGTCATCCAATAATCCAGTTTTTCTCTGAGAAGGTGGGGCTTAAGTTATGTCATGAATCCACAATACCAATGTGTGTACCAATGCTCACTGATCAAGCACAAAAACTCAGGTTCAGATTGGATGATGTATCACTGAGCTATAACTGTTGGAATAATGTAGGGGCACACTTGAGTCCAATGTTAAAGAACAGTATCAATGTGTCTCTAAGTGCTCACTGATCCCGCACATAAAATCTGGTACATATTGGATGATATTTCATTGCGATATAACAGTTGGAATAATCTAGGGGGCACACTGGAGTCAAAAGTTAAACAACAATACTAATGTGTGTAGAAGTGCTCAGTAATGACATATCAAAAATCTGGCCTAGATCGGATGATATTTCACTGAGATCTAACTCTTGGAATAATGTAGGGGGCACACTTGAGTCATATGTTAAACCACAATATCAATGTGTCTAGACGTGGTCACTGATTATGCACCAAAATTCTGGTTCAGATTGGATGATGTGTCACTGAGATCTAACTGTTGGAATAATGTAGGGGTGCACTTGAGTCAAATGTTCAAGAACAATATCAATGTGTCTAAGTGCTCAATGATCACGCACATAAAATCTGGTACATATTGGATGATCTTTCCCTGAGATGTAACTGTTGGAATAATGTAGGGGTGCACTTGAGTCAAAAGTTAAACAACAATACCAGTGTGTCTAGAAGTGTGTCTAGAAGTGCTCACTAATGACATACCCAAAATCTGGCTTAGATTGGATGATAATTAACTGAGATATCGCTGATTAAATAATCTAGGTGGTGCACTGGATTCATATGTTAAACCACAATATCAATGTGCCTAGATGTGCTCACTGAATATGCATCAAAAATCTGGTTCAGATTGGATGATGTATCACTGAGATATCTGTTGGAATAATGTAGGGGGCACACTTGAGTCAAATGTTAAAGAACAATACCAAAGTGTCTTTAAGTGCTCACTGATCATGCACAATAAATCTGGTACATACTGGATGATATTTCACTGAGATATAACTGTTGGAATAATCTAGGGGGCACATTTGAGTCAAAAGTTAAAAAAGAATATCAATGTGTCTAGAAGTGTTCACTAATGACACCCCCAAAATCTGGTTCAGATCAGATGATATATCACTGAGATATAACAGTTTGAATAATGTAGGGGGCGCACTTGAGTCAAATGTTAAACAACAATACCAATGTGTCTAGAAATGCTCACAGATAACACACCAAAAATCTGGTGATGATAGGATGATGTATCATTGAGATATAATGGTTGGCATAATGTAGGGGGCGCACTAGAGTTAAGTCACAATATCAATGTGTGTAAAAGTCCTCACTGATGACACACAATAAATCTAGTGCGGATCAGATCTTGTATCACTGAGCTATAACTGTAGGAATAATGTAGGTGGCGCTGTGGAGGCTATTGGCCACTTATCATGGATACCTGTTTAAGGGGCGGATAATGATCAATCATAGTGATTTTGGTGCACCTCGGCTGAAATCTGTGCATTTTAGAGCCAAACGTATTGCAACGGCGTCACTTCTGAATTCACCACGCCGCCAAGCCCACATCCTCAAACAAAAACGGTTTGCACTTTAAATCAAGTCAGACCATATTATCTGTCTTCTAACACAGGATCATCCTGATTAGGTCAATGGTGTCAAAGAGGGAGCATTCCAAGTTAAAAAAGAGACTTCCTGTTCTGAGTGGGCGGGGCTTTGATCACGTCAAAATATGACCACAGTGGATCATCGGGCACCCAACAGGGATGAGTCATGCCAAGTTTCGTGCATTTCAGTCTTTCAATGTGAAAGTTATAGTGTTTGGAAATTTCTAGAGTGAAGCGAAACTTTGAGTCCTGGCCACACCCCTTTAACATATACAAAAACACAAGCTTTAGATAACTTTTACTCTCCAACCAAGTTTGAAGACAATTCTTCAAAAATTCCTAGGAGGAGTTTGTTAAAATTCTCAATTAGAAATTAACAAAAATGACCCTTTGACCCAAAATGGCCGACTTCCTGTTGATTTTGGACCAGGGCTCCAAGAGACTTTTTCATAGTTCCTGAGAAGATACAGATGTTCACCGAGTTTCAGAATTATCGGTCCAAAAATGGCTTGGGGCTTATTTTTTTAAATATTATAGGGGGCGCTGTGGAGGCTATTGGTCACTTATCATAGCTTCCTGTTCAAGGGGTGGATAATCATCGATCATACTGATTTTGGTGCACCTCGGTTCAAAAATGTGGAATTTAGAGCCAAACGTATGGTGACAGCGTTACGTCTTACTTCTCCATGCCGCGCCGCCCACATGCTCCACCCAAAACTGTCAGTGTTGGAAAGCAAGTTACACCAACATGTCTTCGGTCACTGGACACACTAACATGATGATCAGGTAACAGGGGTCAGATAGGGATTGTTCAACAAAAAATCAACCTTTATTTATACAGGTAAATCCCATTGAGCCTCGAGGACTCATTTACAAGAGAGACCTGATTTCAACAAAGAAAGATGACAACAATGGACAACAGCAACAACAATAAACAGTTATAAAAAAGCATACTACAGTTTTTTTTTTTTTAACAAATAGGATGGCTAAAAGGAAAAGGTAACAAAACAACAAAAAATTTTTTTATACTTCCTGTTGTCTGGGGGCGTGGCTTAAGTGATGTCATGATTTGACCATTCATTCTTGCAGGGGACTGGATGTGGATCAATCAGCGAAGGTTTTATGTCTCAGACAGTTTTCGTGTAGGAGCTGTTAAGAATTTGTTTTTTAAGGCAAGATGTCAAACTTTGAGGTCTGGCCCCGCCCCTTCAGCATGCTCCGAAACAAACCGTTTAGATAATTTTGTGTCTCCCATGCCTTTTGACCAAAATGGCCAAGTTTGAATCCGATTGAGCGAAATCCCTAGGAGGAGTTCATTCAAATGCCGAGGCTGTAAACCGCCAAAAAGGTGTGAAAATTGTGTTCCAAAATGGCTGCCTTCCTGTTTATCGTACAATGTTGGTTCCAGAGGGTTTTCTGTGCATCTAGGGAATTGGAGAAGCGTACCAAATTTCATGCTTCTACAACAAACTACTGTTAAAGCGGAGGGTATTTTGAAAATTTGTAGGTGGCGCTCTTGAGCCGTTTCTGTAGCGATTTTTGCCATGCCATTAAAATACGTAATTCTTCACCAGTCCTGATGCGTCCGCCAAATTTGGTGACTTTTGGGATATGTTAAGGTCCCCAAAACACCAATTCATTTGGCGGAAAAAATTGCAGCTCGGGCCTGAACAGAGCAATTACAATAGGCCTTTGCAGCGCTTTGCTGCTCGGGCCTAATAAAAAAAAGGACATACCAGTAAAGGTATGGAAATGTCTAGGAGAGATGGCAGTGACGTTTTTGATTTGATTATTCAATGGAAATTTTGACAGTGAGAAAATGCCTTTTTAAGAACAAGGGTAATGTACAGAGTTATAGCAACTACAAGGTAATTAAATTGATAAGCCACATGAAAATCTCTGGGAGTGAGTTGTGGAAGCTAGACTTGAGAGGTGACTACATGTATAGGTAAGCATCAGTATGATTTTATATCATGAAAGAGCACCATAGATGCCATCTTCACTTTGATAATGATAATGGAGATGTATAGAGATGGTCAGAAAGAACTCCTTTGTGTCTTTGTGGATATAGAAAAAGCATACAACAAGGTGCAGAGGGAGGAGGTGTGGTATTGCATGAGGAAATCTGGAGTGGCAGAGAAGCATGTTAAACTGGTACAGGTCATGCTGAAAGACAGCAGGACAGTGGTGAGATGTGCTGTAGGAGTGACAGATAGCTTCAAGGTGGAGGTGGGATTGTGGCAAGGATCATCTCAGAGCCCCTTCTTGTTTGCTCTGGTGATGGACCGACTAACAGATGAGGTCAGGCAGGAATCCCTGTGGACTACGATGGTTGCAGATGACATTGTGAACTGTGGTAAGAACAGGGACCTGGTTGAGTAGAACTTGAAAAGATGCATGTAATGTAAATAATGGAATTATAATGTATAATGTAAAATGTAAGTTCTTGAAAGAAGAGGAATGAACGATATCTCTAACAAGATAGATTATGTGCGTGTGAATGAGAGGGAGGCTGGTGGAACAGTGAATAAACGGGTAAAAGATGATGAATGGATGGATGGATGGAGTGGCAGCAAGGGTCAAAGGAAAATTTTTACAAGACAGTGGTGAGGCCAGCTATGTTATATGGTTTGGAGCTAGTGGCATTGACAAAAAGACAGGAGAAAGAACTGGAATTGGCAGAAATGACGATGTTGAAGTTCTTCTTGGGAGAGATAAGAATGGATAAGCTTAAGAATGAGATCATCAGAGGTACAGCACAGTTTGAACAACTGGGAGATAAAGTTACAGAGACCAGACTGAGATGGTTTGGACATGTCCAGAGGAGAGACAGTGGGTATATTGGTAGAGAAGGATGATGGAAATGCAGCTACCAGGTAAACGGCATAGAGGAAGGCCAAAGAGGAGATATATGGATGCAGTTAGAGGTTGATGCAGGTAGATGGAGTGAGGACAGAGGATGCAGAGGACAGAGTGAAAAGTAGATAAAAGAAGTCATGTGAACAGAGATTAAACTTGTTTAAATTAATGCTATTTATAAACATACACGGGAAACTAACATTAACAGAAAGTTAAAAAACAAATTTTGAAAAAAATAAAAGTAAAGCAGTGCAGTGCTCTCCATCTCAGCCATGGAAAACAGGAATGTGTAACCCTAAAACAGATAGGACTCACAATGTCTGAACATTAGTGCCACCTGCAACATTTGTTTTCGTGAAACAATTTTTTTATTCATGCAAAAATAATTTTGAATGTATTTTTAGTTCTGTAAAACTGCAAAACAACGTCAAATAGTGAGCCTGAACAAATGCAAATCAGTGTGCGGTGTGACATTTATTAATGTTATGGTTAATTTTTGTGAGATTAATGTCAAGGCATGCAGTGTGGGTTGGATTTGTTCCTTGTTGGAGTCAGACTATCATATTTGAAGATATGTTTATCTGCAAGGACTTTATCGGCTTTAAGTTCTGTGTGTGCATGCACTGTTGTGTTTCAGGTTACATTCTGGGGACCAGCTGCTCCTTGTGGGGATCAAAGCCTGGTCTCCATAAAGTTCAAGTCTCGTTGATCGGTTAGGGATTAGATTTAGGTCTAAGGTGTGAGTTGCGGATGGGTTAGGTTTAGGGTTAGGGTTAGGCATGTACTGATAATGGTTAGGTTTAGGGTAAGGTCAGGGTTGGGTAATAGAAATTAATGGGTCAAATACAAAGTCCCCACAAAGTCAGAAATACAAGACTGTGCGTGTGTGCATATGTGTGTGTGTGTGCATGTGTGTGTGTGTGTGTGTGTGTGTGTGTGTGGGGGGGGGGGGGGGGGGCGTCTAATGTCAACAGGCTTGTATACATTTGGATGCTGTTAAAGAGGCTCCAGATTAAATTATTTCAGATGAAGCACATAAAAAACATTTTTTGTCAAATTGTTAAAATAAATGTTTCAGTTAACCCTTGAGTCCTCTGTTTTATACAGGACTAAAACAAAACACAAAAATCCAATTATCACAGGAACATTTGTTTAACTTTATTTAAAAACCATATGAAGAGAAGATGTTGTACAGTCAGAAGGCATATAAAATTTTATTTTTCATGCTGTGAAGTATTTTGATTTGCTTTTATTGATATTTACAATAAATCATGCAGACTGCACAAACCAGTGCCAAATTTCACTCACAAAAAACAATTGTTTATTAAGTTTATAAAAATATTAAGTTATTTACACAAATAATGGCAGTTGTTAAATTATTTCTTGTGAATTTAACAAATCAGAAGCTGTTTTCACTTATCAAATTTTACATTTTTCATCAGTCTTCATAAGGAACAAACAGGATGCATTTTGTGACAGCACACACTGTCATGATTGTCAAAACATGCAACTTTTCAAAACTGAAAAATTAAAGATTTTTTTAATATGCATAAAACTAAAACTATATATTTTTTAACTATGGCAAAAAAAAGTCTTGATGTAAAATGAAAAACAGTGTAAAAATAACAGCTGTGTGAAACCTCGAAAGTAATAATAGCCTTTCAATAAGACATTATTCCATCAAACTTTTTTATATCAGCATGGCTTATGCAATTATATATTTAAGATATTTTAGAAGTTTTAAGCATTTTAGCAGTTAAAGAAAAAGGACTCAATATTCTTGGCTTGACAAAGAATCTTGACCTAAAGCTCTGAAACGCAGAATTGACTCCATACATCTGATGGCAACATCATCAACTTCAGGATCAAACTTATTTGCAAAGAGGTGGTGTTGTTGCAGCAGCCACAGGAGGTCACCAGCTCCATACACACATACCTCTCTTTGGTATTTTCCTGTGCAATCAGAGTAGGGGGCTCCTTTGTTAACATCTCCTGCTAAGTAGGACCATTTCACAGCATGAGCAATAGCTAACATGTCTGACGTATCATATTTGGCATTGGCAGGCATTGATTTTGGAACAGAAGGCATCCTCTGAAGAGTGGCCCAGAAGTGCTCATCTGGGCTGTATGTGTCTTTCTCCCATTCTATAAATTTCTGCACTTCTCTGTCCTCCATCACATGTTTCACAAAAGCCCTTGAGACAACAAAGTAGGCATTTCCTTGGAACATGGGGCTGCTGATGGGTGGAGGACTCTTCTTCACATTTGTCTGTGTGATAGTGCCAGTGACCTCAAAATGATACTGCCAGCGTAGTTTTTTATGGGGAACAGTGGCTTCAGATTCCATGTTGTTTCTGCCATTTAAGGCTTTCAGAGCCATGACCATCTCTCTGTTTGTTTTGATGGGAAAGTCTGTCCCGCAGGTGTTCAGCAGATATTTCCACTGGACGTTAGAGTTCAGCAGATCCTTCATACAGTTCAGATCTGCCTGGACTCTGGGCCAAGCAGCATATACAACACTTTCTAACTTACTGGCTATGAATATATTAGGAAAGCAGGAAACTATAGACCTCACAGCCGTCTGAAACTCCAAAGGTGATTTGAGATCCACATGTATGCAGTAGATGTTCTGAGGAGCGTAAATAGCCCGTAAGAGTCGCTCGAACATCTCAATCTTCTCATGGATCACAATAGAGAATGCGATAGGGAAATGTTTCTCCTCCTCACTCAGAGGCACCGTAATGAAACTCCTCTTCTCAATGAAAGCTGGACAGTCCTTTGCCGCAGTGATGTAGAAGTCTGCAGGCAAAGAAGTTCGCGTCCTGGGTGCTAGAAGAGCTTCTAAGTTGGTCTTCTTCCCTTCTATGTTTCCAGTGATGATAGCTAAACAGCCAGGCAGATCTACAAATAACTGATGTGGTATGGGATGCTCAGAGGAAAATTCTTTCTTAAATGTATTTTTCCAAAAAACAGCAAAAACAGATGTAACCAGAAGGATGGGTAAGATAGTCCTTGACAGCATCTTTCTCCTCAGAAAGTTTATGCGAGCCATTTTCCTTTCTTGCAATTGTGAGAGTTGCCTTGCATTAAGTTTGTTGTTTGAGGGAGAGGCTGTAGCACTTGATCTTATTAAGAAAAGTGAATCACTTATCTGTAGAAGAGTCAAACTGTGCTCTGACAGGAGGGGTTTCCTGTGTAACTTCTTGTAGGACCTTATAAAAGCCTAAACAACTTCAGATCAAATCTGCAATTTGATATTTTTTTAATATGTTCACTAACTTCAATGTCACAGCGTTCAGTGTGAATGTGACTTAACTTACTTTGTTCCAAACTATGTTTATCTGCAAGGACTTTGCTCATGTCTGTGTGTGTATGTGCGTGCGTGTGTTTGTGTGTGTGGTGATGGTGGGAGGGATCTAAAGTCAAAAAGATATGTGTGTAAAATCGTAAAATAGTTTTGGAATGTTCAGTTGAATATTTACAATAAATCATGGAGACTGTATAAACCAATCCTTAGTTTCCAAAATGACAAAAGTTTAATAAGTTTAAAATGTACTGATATTTACACAAACATGGATAGATTTTTTTTTTCATTGTTCATGCATTTATTAAGCAGAAAAAACAGCCACTAGGGAGCACAAGCCAGTGTATCTCTTGTAGAGCTGTCATTTCTAACTCAAACCCAGAGCCCGGCCCCACCCAACCTAGATTCGGACTGGGCCGGTCAATAATAAAGTGCTTAATGTGCCAGCCGGGTCAGTGTAGGGCTTTTGATTGCATCAGCGGACGCGTGCGGCTGACGATCCAATTATATGGCAACATAGCTTGCCATACATTCAGCTGCCGCAAGCGGCCATTTCAGCACGCTTTGACTGGCTTTGAAAGAGGTAAAAAGTTCAGTTAAGCTTCAGATGGACTTCTGCCAGTGATTCATCAGCCCAAATGGATGTTCATTCAACTGCTGCACTCAGTGGACGCACACGGCTGATGACCCAAACAAGTGAGATCACAAAATATCTGGCATATCAGAGCAGGGTCCAATGCAGGCAGAAGCCGGGGAAGCATTTAATGTGCTTTGACGGCCATGAAAGGACAAACATCCCCTCAGCTCTGGGGTTCGGTTTCGGACCTGTAATTACTGTTAATTTGTTGGATTGGGTGGGGTTTGGAAATGATGACTATGACCTGGGGCCGGGTCGGATTTTTTTTACCCAAATGCAACTCTAATCTCTTGTGCCGGTCCAAAGCCTGGGTAAATGGAGAGAGTTGTGTCAGGAACAGCATCCGATGTAAAACACTTTTGCCAAAACCATAATGAGAGTTCATCAATGCAAAACCATATCACATTGGTCGAGGCCCGGGTTAACAATGACCACCACCAGTGCTGTTGACAAACAGGGTGCCGGTGGAAATTGTGCTACTGTTAGTCGAAGACCACATGGAAGGAAACATGTCAGGAGACGAAGGGAGAAGAGGAAAGTTAGGAATGTAGGACTGAGGGTTGCAACTCTAAATGTGGGGACAATGACAGGCAAAGGTAGAGAGCTGGCTGACATGATGCAGAGAAGGAAGGTAGATGTTTTATATGTCCAAGAGACCAAGTGGAAGTGCAGCAAGGCTCGCAGCATTGGAGCAGAGTTCAAACTGTTTTACCATGGTGTGGATAGAAAGAGAAATGGAGTAGGGGTGGTCCTGAAGGAGGAGTTGGCAAAGAATGTAGTAGAGGTGAAGAAAGTGTCAGATAGGGTGATGTGCCTGAAGGTAGAAGTAGAAGGTCTGATGCTAAACATTGTCAATGGTTATGCTCCACATGTTGGATGTGATGAGGAGGAGAAAGATACATTTTGGAAAGATCTGGATGAAGTGATAGAGAGTATTCCCTGGGAGATTGGTGATCAGAGCAGACCTGAATGGAAATGTTGGTGAAGGAAACAGAAGGGATGAGGAAGTGATGGGTAGGTTTGGTGTCAAGGAAAGGAACAGACGGTGATGAATTTATAGAGAATGGAAATGGCTGTAGTCAACACATATTTCCAAAAGAGGGAAGAACATAGAGTGACCTATATGAGTGGACGAAGGAGTATGTAGGTCAACTACATTTTGTGTAGACGAGGAAACCTGAAGGAGATTGGGGACTGTAAGGTTGTGGCAGGGGAGAGCATGGCCAGACAGCATTGCATGGTTGTGTGTAGAATGACTGTTGTTGTGAAGCAGAGAATAAGAGTAAAATCAGAGAAGAAGACCAAATGGTGGAAGCTGAAGAAGGAAGAATGTTGTGAGAAATTCAGAGAGGAGCTGTTAAAGGTTCTGGGTGGTGAGAAAGAGCTTCCAAATGACTGGACTACCACAGCAACAATAATTAGAGAGACAGGTAGGAAGGTACTTGGTGTGTCATCTGGACAGAGAATGGATGATAAGGAAACCTGGTGGTGGAATAGTGACGTGCAGGATAGAGTTGCATTCGGGCCCAAAAAATCTGATCTGAACCGGCCCCAGCCTGCAGTCATAATTTCCGAACCCCACCCAACCCGACGAATTAACAGTAATTACAGCTCCGAACCCGGACCCCAATCCCCCCCCCC